ACACGAATTGTTGTTTTCAATATTACAGTTGAATCTTAAAAGTAAAGGTCTAGTTATCTAAATAAACTTTTGAGTACTCCCCAAGATTATATATATATATATATATATGTATATATATAAACTGATATCATAAAAGCTATATAAACAATAAAGTATAAATCCTCAAAATTAGCATGAGAATATATAAAATGCATGATTGCATCAGTGATCAGATTCATCCATCGATTTGGGCTGCCTAAGGATAAAATGGGCTTTGATTTTGGGCCTCTTGGCCCATTTCTACTCTTTGACTTTTTGTTTGACCTTGTGATGGTCTGAGTGGAGAGAGAGAGAGAGAGAGAAACCTGAATAGAGAGAGAGAACCTGAATGGCGTCCATGTCCGCTCTAAGGGCGAACCAGGGCTGAGCTCCGCTCCCCACGGAAGCCACCACGCCGGTCTCCGCAACCGGCCACGTGTACTCGACGCCGAGCGAGTCGAGCTCCGATCTCACGAGTTGACTCGTCTCGAACTCCTCGAACGCTAGCTCCGGGTTCTCGTGGATTTTCCTGCGAACTCTTCTCAGCCATGCCGAGAACTCTGGCTGACTCGCCGAGTCCAAGAGCTCCCGAGTCAGCTGAGTGAGCTCCTCCGACCCAGTGGGAGTGCTGCTCTCCAGAGCCCATAGTGCTCGACACGTAAGAGTTGATAATATTAATAACAAATTACACAAGTGCAACCAGTACTCCATTAGAGAAATATAAGACCGAAAAAAGTTCTAAAAAGAAAATGTTAATCGGCTTTTCAGGAACCATATACACCACATCTGTGTACTATATTGTTTTATTCATTATTTCTTTAATTTTCTGTTTTTTTCTTTTAATAAAATATAAACAAGTTGGAAGCTCAAACAAAAATAAAATGTTATAAACAAGTTGGTTAGTCTAGTCCTTGGATATTTTATATTACGCCGTGAATCATATGATTTACTGAGACATTAAATAGCAATAATAAGTTACTGAGACATTAAATATTATTCTATCCAATTCAATTGATTTTTTTTAATCTTATAACAACCAATCCAATTAAAGGTCTGTTTTTCATAAATTTCATACAATACAGTTCAATTGTTAGTGTATCATCTAATCCAATTTAATTTAATTGAGATTGGTTGGGATTGGGCTTTGACCAATTGATTTTCGGCTTAAGCTTTTTATATATTTGTGAGAAAAGTACATAGTTTATTATTATTTTGTGCAAGCCCGTTATTTATGTCATTCTAAATATGTGGACGCTATTATGGCCTTTTATTTTAAGAAAATAGTAGAGAATAGGCCAATTTTAAAACCTTAAGGAAGCATATAAGCCAATTTTTAGTTTTGAAAATTAATATGCCATAATTTTTAAATTTCCAAATTTACCCTTTTTTTTTTCCTTTGTTTCTTTCGATCGTCTCTATCTTTCTCTCTCTCTCTCTCTCTCTCTCTCTCTCTCGTAACTGCGCTCGGATTTTGTCTCTCGTCGGTGGATCATCGTTTTCCATTTGCTCGTCGGTGAATCGTCGGTGGATCAACAGGTTCGTCGGTCGGTAGTTCTTGTTCTCGTTTGGATTTGAGCAGCTGTTCCGGTGCTTTACCAGGTTCTAGTTTTTTTTTGTTGTATTTTCGTTTTCATATTTTGCATTTTTTCGGTTTGTTTTCTTTCTTTTGTGCGTTAATCCTTTATTTTTTGCTGTTTTCCGGTCGATTTTTACGGAACAACATGTTTGGGCATTCTTCGTTTATATATATATATATATATTTTTTTTTTTGTTGTAATTTCATTTTTGTTGTAATTTCGTTTTCCGGTCGATTCTTCGTTTTGTATTTTTTTTGGTTTGTTTTCAATTTGTTTCAGTCATGACAGTTTTTGTTATAACTTGTGCGGTTATGGAACATAACTAGATGAGTTATGGTCCATAATTGAGAGGTTTTTTTATATAACTTGTCCGGTTATGCACTTTAACGTGACAGTGTTCCTGCAATATGTTTGTAGGCATGCAATCTGTTTCAGTCATTGTTGTTTATAGGGGAAAATGGAGTCTAGAAAACTAATATACAAATTTTGGCTTTCAATCAGTTTTTATTCCAGAGGATGCTTCTTTGAAGTTTTTACAGGAGTGTTTATGTGAGGGGCTGAATCTTGAGTTGTTTGGTTTTAATGCTGGTGTTCATTCTTTATTACTTTTTGTTGGAAGGAAGTTGAAGGACCCAATTGAAATTGTTTCGGACCTTAGGAGGGATGATGATGTTAAGTTGTTTTTAAACTTGGTTCGACACAGTAAGGAAGCTCTTGGATTCCCGTTGGTAATAGATTTTGTTAGTGGCTCTGTTAGTGCAGTGGGATCTATTTCTTCTTCATCTTGTTTTATTAGTTCAAGAGATGAGGCGTCATCTTCTAATGTTGATGGTTCCGTTTGTCAATTTGAAGATGATATTGATGTTGCGATGAATAATTTTTTGATTGAAGATTTGGATATTTCAAAGTTACCGGTGTCGTTTGATGTGAATGTAGGCAATCAATTCATGAGCAAGTCGGTTCTCAAGAAATTCATGCATGTAATTGCTATTAGGAGGCATTTTGAATTTAAATCTGAAAGATCTAATAATTCATTTTATGTTTTGGTTTGTAAAAATAAGAGTTGTACTTGGAAGATGCGTGCTGCTAAGGTTTCAAATGGTAATGTTTGGGCAATGACGAAGTATATTAAGGAACATAGTTGTTCACTTGATGTTGCTAGCGCTGAGCATCGTCAAGCAAATAGTCGTGTTGTTTCGGAGTTTTTAAAGGGCGATTTTAGCATTGGGCTTGCAGACCGTTTGCGTCCTAATGATTTGAGGTCTATAATGCATGGTAAGCATGGTGTTGAGATTAGTTACTACAAAGCGTGAATGGCTCACCGATATGCGTTACCATCAATGAGAGGAAGTGCAGTGGAGTCGTAAGCATCCATTCCTTTTCTGTGCAATGTTTTCAAGGAGAGTAATCCAGGTGATTTTTATTTTTATGTGTTATGCTTATGGTTTTGTCTATTTGTACAGTATATGCATGATATAGTTATTAGTTACATACCATTTATATGTAACATGGATTATTTTAAATGTTTAATTCACTGACAAGAGTTTAATTTCTCCGTGACTAATAGTTATTTTAAATATTTTTTTTTTGTTTTTTCTTTGTAGGATCTGTGACTTCTTATGAGCTTGACAATGATGGGCAGTTCAAGTATTTTTTTTTGTGCTTAGGGGCTTCTATTAATGGTTGGCGCCATTGTAGGCCTGTGATATCAGTTGATGGCACTTTTTTGAAAAATGAGTTTTCTGGGACCTTGCTTCTCTCTACAGTTTTAGATGATGATAATCATATTTTTCCGCTTGGTTTTGCAATTGTTGATTCGGAGAATGACTCCTCGTGGGAATGGTTTTTTGAAAGGCTTAAGGAGGCCATCGGAACTCGTGAAGAGCTTGTTATTATTTCTGACCGAAAGAGTAGTATCCCTAAAACAGTTGAGAAGGTATTTCCAGATGCATCTCATGGGTTTTGTATGCAACTTTTACTTAGAAATGTGAATTCAAATTTTAAAGGTGTGCATGTGGATGCTATATTCTATCGTTGTGCCAAGGCATACCGTAAGGAAGACTTTGGTTACTTCATGCGTCAATTGGAGGCAGTTCGACCAGCTATTCAAAATTATTTGCTGCAAGTAGGGGTTGAAAAGTGGGCACGTGCTCACTTTGAGAGGAAGAGATATGATGTCATGATGACTAATATCTCCGAGTCGTTGAATAATGTCTTAGTGAATGCTAGGGAGTATCCT